GCGGAGCTTAATTTTGGCTTTCTTTCTTACTTAAAACTTTTGTTTGAACAACACATTTACTTAAGAACGTCTTTCACATGTTAATTTCTCGTCGAAAAATAAGGATTTTGAAATTAAACTTCGACCCTCGGTTTACGACGAATAAAGAAAAATTGCCACGACTGAGACCGGGCGGGTGGGCGGGGCTTCTCTACAAATTTACCATTTCAAACAAGTTTTCAGTTTATTGTCATCAATGGGAAACTACGTACATATAAGAAAAAAAGAAGGAAAATACAAACCCCGCCCACCCGCCCATATCTCAATTGTGGTGAATTTTCTTATTCGTCGTGAGCCCGTGGGCGGAGCTTAATTTTGGCTTGCTTTCTTTCTTACTTAAAATTTTCTTTGAACACGTTTACTTAAGGACATCTTTCACATGATAATTTCTCGTCGAAAAATAAAGATTTTGCAATCAAGCTCCACCTCCTTGCTTACAACGAATAAAGAAAAATCGTCATAACTGAACAGGGCGGGTGGGCGGGGCTTATGATTTGGCTTTGTTTTTTTCTTGATAATATACTTAGGTACTCTCCACAACAAAACACTGAAAACATGTTTAAAGTGGTACATTTGATCTCCCACATTTTTCTATAAATTTACCAATTTTAACAAATTTTCAGGTTCTTGTCGTGAATAGAAAACTACGTAGATATACGAAAAAAGGCAAAACATAAACCCCGCCCACCCGCCCTATCTCAATTGTGGCGAATGTTCTTATTCGTCGTGACCCGAAAGGCGGGGCTTAATATTGGCTTTCTTTTTCACTTAAAACTTTTCTTTTAACAACGTTTACTTAAAAACATCTTTCACTTGGTAATTTCTGCCTCCATTTCACTGATCCACTTTGTCTAGTCCGAATGAACGTGGATCTCAATTGAAGAGAGATAAAATCGTTAGAATGAGAACAGCGTGTGTGGGCGGGGCTAGTATCTGCTAAGATAACATTGATTTTGGTAAATGACATAACCTCTAAGAAAATAAAGGGTGGGTGGGAAGCGCTAGTATTTGCTAAGATAAGACTGATTGTGGTAGATGACATATCCTCTAAGAATAAAAGGGTGGGTGGGCGGGGCTAAAATTTACTAAGATAGGACTGAACAATATTAAGAGTGGTCACTAGAACCAAGAAGAGGTGGGTGGGTGGGGCTATTGCTTGTTCATCAAACTAATCAACAGCTAAATTTAGCCCTTTTCTCCATTTCATTAACTTATTTTATTTAGTGTAAAATGAAAATTGAAAAATAAGAATATCGTATTTCCAAAATTTTCTGGGAATTGACCCATTCTTTAATTTTTTTGAGCTACCTGTTCAAGCAAATTTAAAAAATATGAGTGCAATGATAAATCACAAGTAAAAACTCATCATATTTTGCACATTTTGGGTAGAATTTATTTTAAAACGTCTACAAGATTTCAAAGTATGTATTTAGTTTTGCAATTCTTGATTTATTCAATAAAATAAAATAACTGATTCATTTTTTTTGAGTCACCCTGAGTAAGGAAATAATAAGCAAAAAATGAATGCAATGATAAATTACAAGTATAGACTGATCAAATTTTGCAAATTTTAGATAGGGTTTATTAGGCAAAATTTTGAGATGACGTCATCAATTTTTTGGAGGGGACAAATTTATTATGTTCATCATAACTTTAAAACGTCTGCAAGATTTCAAAGCATTCAGTTTTGCAGATTCAAAATTAAATTGCAAAATGTTTTATAATTTTGATTTTTTTTCCAAAAAACTGGACGTTTCGGGTAAAAACTCAACACAGAGTCATAAACTACACAGAGTAACGAAAAAATTTACGTGAGGGTATTGAAAAATTAGATAACCCAAAAAAATTTTGATTCTCGATTACAAAAACAAAGTGTTAAGGGTCCTCGAACAATATTTTCAAAAATTCGGTTTGAAAAAGATTTTTTTTAATATCTAAAATTCTGAAATATTGATTTCGGCGAGCTGATTCGGAAAACATAAGATGTTAATCCCTGATCTAGATTTTGAAAAATTCGATTTAAAAATGATTTTTTTAAACGATCAAAAACTTCATATTCAATTTCAAGAAATTTTGAAAACTTGCCTAAAAATCCTCAAAAAATTCTGGTATATAAATTTCGAGAAACATGAACTGTCTCTGGTCCCGGGACAAGATTTGCGTAAAATTCAATTTGAAAATATTTTTTTTCCAAAATACGGATTCTCAAAAATAAATGATAATAAATCGATGATCTGAGTCTCCATCCAAACTCTATAGATCTATGACTCGGGCTTAAATAGGTAACTAAAAACAGGAGGTCCTAAACCAGGCTCTGAAAAAATCGTAGTTAAAGAAAAATCAGAAATCAATTTTTTAAATCATTTATTTAATTTTTTTGTTTTTCAATAGTTTACAGTTAAAAGTATAAAAACTAAAAAATCGAAAAATTGGTGATTCGAAAAATTGAAAAATCCGGAAATTTAAAAATCCCAAAACTGAAATGTCGCAAAATTGAAAAGTTGAAAAGCCGCAAAACGGAGAAATCGAAATTGCCCAAGATCGAAAAATCGAAAAATTCAAAATTGAAATACCTACATATGTACACTTAAAAAAAACTAATCATAAAAAAAAAATCAAAAAGACTAGAAATCGAGACTGAAAAGTCTAAAATTAAAAAAATGTAAAAATTAAAGAATCGAAAAACTGAAAAATCGCAAAAGTAAAAAATCAGAAAAAAAAACGAAAAATCGAAATATTGAAAAATTTCAGAATTGAAAGACCCCAAATCTGAAACATCGAAAACTCGAGAAACCGAAAAATTGAGAGATTGAAAAATCGAAGAATTCAAAATTTTTCGATTTCCTGAAATCGAACTTAAAAAATTCGATTTCGGGAAATCGAAAACATTTAAATTTAAAAAATTTTAATCGGGAAATCGCGGCATCAAAAAATCTAAAATTTGGAAAATCAAAAAATGAAAACATCAGTCCAGAAGTCGAAAAATCGAAAAACTGCGAAATCGAAATTGTCCAAAATCGAAAAATTTAAAATTGAAACATTTACACTTAAAAAAAAAACGATAAATCGAAAAAGTGAAAAACCTGAAACGTAAAAATTCCAAAAATCGAAAAATATAAAAATCGAGAAACCGAAATATTCCTATGTAAAATTAAAAAACCGAAAAATTGAATGAAAAATCGAGAAATTGAAAAATCTAAAACATCGAAAACTTGAGAAACCGAAAAATTGAGATATCCAGAGATCGGAAAGTCGAAAAATCGAGGAATTAAAGAATCGACAAATTCAAAAATCCCCGTACTGAAATATTGTAAAATCGAACAATTCAAAATTGAAACAAAAAAACAACGGTAGACCTCAAAATCGAAAAAACGAAAAATTGAAAAATCGAAAAATCTAAAAGAGAAGTCGAAAGCTCGAGAAACAGAAATATAAAAAAGTAAAAAAACTAAAATTTAAAAATTCGAAAAATTGAATCATACAAAAATCGAAAAACTGTAGAATCGAAAAATTGAATGAAAAATCGAGAAATCAAAAAATTGAAAATTTAAAATTTTAAAAATCGAACTTTTGAAAAATCACAAAAGTAAAAATTAAAAAAAAAACGGAAAAAAATCGACATTGCAAAATTAAGAAATCGGGAACTCGAAAAATCGATAGATCGAAAAGACGAAAAATCAAAAAATCGATCAATCGGGAAACCGAAGAATTAAATGTTAAAATGAAAACATCTAAAGATCGAAAAATCGAAAAACTGTCAAATCAAAATTGCCTAAAATTGAAACATTTAAACTTAAAAAATCGAAACAACAAAAAATCGAGAAATTGAAAAATCTAAAATTTCGAAAATCAAAAAATTGAAGGATCGAGGAATTGAAGAACCGAAGAACTGAATATTCGAAAAATTGGAAAATCAAAAAATCGAAAAACTGCGAAGTCGAAATTGCCCAAAATCGAAAAACTTCAAATTAAAACATACAAACTTACAAAAAATCGTAAAATTGAAATATGGAAAAATCAAAAATGTAAAATTTAAAAATATCTAAACACTAAAAAATCAAAAAGACTAGGAATCGAGAAACTGAAACATCCAAAATTTAAAATCGTAAAAACTGAAAAATGGAAATTGAAAAATTGAAACATCGAGAAATCGAAACATAAAAAGATCGAGAAATAGAGAAGTTGAAAAATGAAAAAATCGCGAAATCAGACAGACGGAAAGGGGAGACCATTCTTTCATACTCCAGGTGCCATGAAACGCCAGAAAACATAGCAGTAGCTGTTCACCGGACAATAGATAGACACATGGAAACGAGAAACCCTCTAGGAGTCATGAAACATGGAGAAAACATGAAAGTAGTAATACGTCGTGGATCTCCCGGTATTTATAAGTTTACACCTTTACATTCCCACCCCTCATAATCCAACTGTCAATCCAAATAAAGATATCAAGAAGGCATTGATTAAAGTGAAAAAATAAAAATTAACAATCTAAATCGATAAGAAAATCACAATTTTATAGTAAATTGTGGTTTATTACGTAGCAATGAAAATTTTCAATCAACTTACCTGGTTTGAGTACCCCATTCTCCCGAAATCTTACAACAGCTCCAGTCATTCAAATCCATTTCTACAAAGTCTATAAACAACGATAAATCGCCTATTTTCATTCAAAACAAACAATAAAAGTTCAAATTTTGTGAAAATTCACGACCACGCATGTGCCACTACTACTCACTCGATTAAATTGACGTTTGTGTCCAACCTCAAGACACAAAAAACCCTAGTGTAATTCTAGAATCGCAACTAGTAACCATTAAAAAAACTATTAATTCCAAAATCATTCATAACTGTATCAAACTCAATTACTCAAGTTAGAGAAATCATGAATTCTTTGCGGATTCTATTTTTTTTTTCATTGCCAACCCAACAGTCGAAAATCACCAACGTCACCGCCTTGTTTTTGACGTTTCTATTGACATTTCGCTAACCAACAATCATTATGTTATTTAGTACAAACAATAAACCCAACTAACTCAACAAATATCAAAACGACTCTAAATGTACAAATAAACAGCCACTGAGCCAAGAGGTACGTCTTTCCCTTAACCTCAACCCCTTTCTCACCCAACTCTTTCGACAGGAAACTGCCCAAAATGTCTCGACAATTCGTCCCCAGCGATCGCAAGATCGCCGAAAAACTCGTCATTCTCAACGACAGAGGAATCGGAATGCTCACGCGTATTTACAACATCAAGAAAGCGTGCGGCGACGCCAAATCCAAGCCCGGTTTCCTCTCTGACAAGAACCTTGAGTCATCGATAAAAAGCATAGTGAGGCGCTTTCCCAACGTCGACAGCAAGAATCTCACAGCCATACACGGCTTGCGGAACGACATAATCAAATCGCTGTCTTTGTATTATTACACTTTTGTGGATTTACTCGACTTTAAAGACCACGTTTGTGAGTTGCTTACTACAATGAGCGCTTTACAGATTGAGTTGGATATTGCGGTGAATTTCGAGCTGACTAAGAATTACCTGGATTTGGTTACTACGTACGTGTCTTTGATGGTGTTGCTGTCGAGAGTGGAGGATAGAAAAGCGGTTTTGGGGTTATTTAATGCGGCGTATGAAATAGTGCATTCGTCGTCGGATTCGAGTTTTCCAAGACTTGGGAACATGATAATGGAGTATGAAATTCCGTTTAAGAAATTGTGTGAGGAGTTTGTTCCTCACTCACGCCTACTTCTGGGGGCTTTGAGCTCATTGGCTGCGATTTACGTCACTCGCAACGTGTCAGCGGATAAGTGGCGATCTGAGTTGAAGTTGAGTCTGGTTGGCAACCCTGCGTCACTTTTAAAACCGGTTTTGGCGGATAGAATGTCGTGTGAGTACTTGTCTTTAGACACTATGGAGAAGTGGGTGATTTTTGGGCTACTATTAATCCATCCACACTTGCAACAAGATCAGTTGAATAAATTGTGGATTAACGCGCTTGAGTCGTCATGGGTAACGCCCCTTTTCAGGGACGAGGTGATCTACACCCACCAGTATATTTGTTCCTATTTTGACACCATCAAAGGCTACAGTAAAAGAGTATCAGAAGTGAAGGACTGTCAAAGTCAAGCTATACAAAAAGCTGGGTACAAGCATCGAGAGCGCCGGAAATTTCTGCGAACAGCGCTGAAAGAACTAGGGTTGATTTTCATGGATCAGCCGGGGTTATTAGGTCCTAAGGCACTGATGGTTTTTATGGGTCTTTGCTACGCGAGAGACGAGGTTATGTGGTTGCTGCGACACAACGACAACCCACCCCAACAAAAAAACAAAGGTAAATCAACTGAGGATTTGGTGGACCGGCATCTACCAGAATTGCTGTTCCACATGGAGGATTTGCGAGTTCTAGTACGAAAGTACAGTCAAGTCATGCAACGATACTACGTACAATACTTGTCGCACTTTGACGCTCTAGCCTTGAAAGACATGATCCAGAAGAACTTCAACGCGGTGGGTGAAGACGAGTGCATTATTTTATCTTCCTTGTGTAACACCATCGCCGGACTATCAGTAAAACAAGTCGAGGATAACGAAACTTTCAACTTCTTTGTTTTCCGTTTGGATTGGTTTAGATTGCAAGGGTACATGTCTCACGGCAACGCCCACTTCAAACTACTAGAGAATAAAGACTTGGCGCAGTTCTTGGACACGGTACAATTTCACACCAAAATGGTTGACAATCTAGACGAGATGTTAGTGGAGACGTCTGACTTGTCGATATTTTGTTTCTACAATCGCATCTTCGAGGATCAGTTTCATATGTGTCTGGAGTTTCCTGCCCAAAACCGGTTTATTGTGGCTTTCCCGTCGATTTGTTCCCACTTCCAGAATTGTACGCACGAGTTGTGTCCGGAGGAGCGTCACCACATTAGGGAGAGGAGTCTGTCTGTGGTTAACGTGTTCCTGGATGAGATGGCCAAAGAAGCGAAGAACATCATCACTGCAATTTGCGACGCGCAGTGTAAGATGAGCGACAAACTCTTACCGAAAAACTGCGCACACTTGATTTCGCAACAAATCAACAGAAAGAAGAAGGAGAAGAATAAGAAGAATACGCTTGAGATAGAGAAACCGGGGAAGGAGAGTTATCGGAAGACTCGGGAAAACTTGACTACTATGGATAAGCTACACATGGCACTAACTGAGTTGTGTTACGCGATTAACTACTTTTCGAATATTAACGTGTGGGAGTATACTTTTGCCCCTCGGGAGTACCTTCACCAACACCTGGAGAGTCGATTTGCTCGGGCTCTCGTAGGGATGGTGATGTACAACGCCGATACCAACGAAATCGCGAAACCCTCTGAACTCCTAGTTAGTGTCAGGGCGTACATGAACGTACTACAAACCGTAGAAAACTACGTTCACATCGATATAACCCGAGTCTTCAACAACTGCCTTCTCCAACAAACCCAACCGGTCGACAGCCACGGTGAAAAAACCATCGCGGCGATTTACACCCAATGGTACTCCGAAGTCCTACTCAGACGCGTCAGCGCCGGCAATATCGTCTTTTCCACAAACCAAAGATCCTTCGTGTGTTTAACCGCAGAAGCTTCCATTCCCTTCAACCCTGAAGAGTACTCCGACGTGAACGAGCTGCGCGCCCTAGCCGAACTAATCGGCCCTTACGGCATGAAGCAACTAAGCGAAACCCTAATGTGGCACATCGCCAGTCAAGTCGTCGAACTAAAGAAACTCGCTGAAACCAACAAAGAAGTCCTACTCTCTCTGCGCACCAACTTCGACAAACCCGAAGTGATGAAAGAACAGTTCAAGAAGCTCTCCAACGTCGAGAACGTCCTCCAACGAATGACCATAGTAGGAGTGATCCTCAGTTTCCGCCAACTATCGCAGTCGTGTCTCACTGACGTCCTCGAGCAGAGAATCCCGTTCTTGTTGAGCTCGATTCTGGACTTCCGTCACCACTTGCCCAGTGGCGACCCGCTCAAAGTCGTCAGTGAGATGACTTCCGCGGCGGGGATCCCCTGCAAGGTTGACCCCACGTTGGTGAACGCGCTCAAGATGCAGAAACCCGAAACCGACGTCGACGAACACTTGTTCGTGTGTTTGTTGATGGTGTTCGTGGCGGTTTCCATCCCGAAGTTGGCGCGGCAAGACCAGTCGTTCTATAGAGCGTCGCTGGAAGGTCACACTAACAATATCCATTGTATGGCGCTGGCGGTGAACCACATCTTCGGCGCGTTGTTCACCATTTGCAACCAAGGGGATATGGAAGATCGCATGAAGGAGTTTCTGGCTTTGGCGTCGTCGAGTTTGCTGCGTTTGGGGCAAGAGGCGGACAAAGAAGCTACGAAAAATAGAGAGAGTGTGTATTTGCTGCTGGACCAGATTGTACAAGAGTCGCCTTTTCTTACCATGGACTTGCTGGAGTCCTGTTTCCCGTATGCTCTTATTCGTAATGCTTACCATGCTGTGTACAAGCAGGAACAGATGTTGGCTTAGGGTATTTATTTTGTGCCAATTTTGTTCAGTTTTATTTATTTTTTTCGACTTCTAGATACTGTTACTTTATTGTTTTCGTTAGAAACTGAAGCAATTCCTGTTACAGCACGTGTATCATTAGGTATTTGTGTATTCCATAACCTTTTATAGTACCTATTGCAATAAAATATTTTATAAAGATTTGAAACGGTTGCTTGGTATATTCTTTATTTCAAGAAGCGTTCTCTGAATCCTTTTAACCATTCTTAGAAAAATAGATTTACATGTACACATTTAGAGTAACAACAAAATCGTGTTAGAATAACTAACGACGTTCTTATAACTATTCACACCTAACATCCAGGTCCTATCAGTACACAAAAATAAAGCTCTCACCAAAGCACGGTTGTAAACATTTAAAAATGCCAAAGAATTAATTTGAAGTGCTGAATTTCGGATGTCCAGGAATTCGACATGCTCAAGTTTTATTGATCGGAAAATTAAAGTCCCTAGAATGGTCACTAGTTAGGGCTGCCAACCCCCAGAGAAAAATTCTGGGGAATTGGAGCACCAAGTACACACTTTGAAAAGATATATTATTTAACACAACTACTTATTTTGTTTCAACTAATAATATTCAAACATTCAAGCTTACTTTACCTCGTACGGCCGAATAATCTACTTTTTTTTGAATACGTGATTGTTAACTACACATATATGGAAGATATCACCCTGAGATTGATTACTGAGTTATTTTTAAAAATTATACAATGAGTTGCAAGTTTTGTGTTTGTACGTCATGACTTCCTTCCAACTCAAGACTTTGATCATTTAGGATATAGTGGACTTTATTAATTCCTTAAATGTCCTTAATTGTTGGTATCCAGAGGGGTATTAAGTTCCTCCGCCTGATCTCTACGGGTTGCCATAATTCCCTAAACACAAACAATTGAAGTTAAGCATGCACTGATAATATATTTTTACTTCACTTACTTCTGCAAGACTTTACTTTTTGCAAAGAGAAAGTCTTGCAGGTAACTTGTCTTTTTTTTAATATAAAAAAATCTGGAGGATCCGTGGAGCGGCTTTTTTTTAAATATCTGATGTTTCGTTTTTGAAATTTTAACTTAATTTAATTAAAATTGTTAAATGTTTATAACAACAGAAAAATACCAAAAAACAAAAAAAAAAATGAACCCAATTTTGACAGCAATGTAAGGTAGGGTTGTGACAGTTCTACCAACTTCAAGCAAAATTTGTCGATACCAACTCTAACAGTGATTCTTGATCATGTCGTACAAAGCTGTGGTACAAAGTGTAAGGTATAAGTTTCTGTTTAGTATAACATCCGACCAGATAAAATAAATCTCCAAAACACAAACCCTTGCTAAGTATATTCTTCTGTCGAATGGGAGTGGAAACTAATAGAACCTAGATTGTGAAAAACGTAAAAAAATAAAGAACTAAAAAATTTCTTGTACAAAAAATTTAGTTCAACTTTTAGAAAAAAAAATGGACGGGTGGGTGGGCGGGGCTAAATTTAACTTTTCCTTATCGAGTTTTTCATAAGCAAGCAATAGCCCCGCCCACCCACCCCCTTTTCTTTCTAGTGACTACTCTTAATACTGTTAATTAATGACAATATTATTATTTTATTAGAATCTTCGGCAAATCTATTAAACCGTTACTTAATTTTGTTCAGTCATATCTTAGCAAGTACTAGCCCACCCACCCACCCTCTATTTTCCAGAGGGTGTTATTTGTCCAAATTGGTCTTATTTCAGTGATCGAAAAATCGAAAAATTGAAAAATCGAATTATCGAAAAATCAAAAAAATGTCGAAAAATGAAAAAATTAGATATTGAAAAGTTGCCAAAACTGACGCTGAAAAAATTGAGAAATCGAAAACATGAAAAATCGGGAAATCTAACAATCGAAAAGTCGAAAAATTGAAGAACTGAAAAATTCAAACTCGAAAAATTAAAAAAAATTGGAAAAGCCCAAAATTTAAAAATTGAAATACATATAGAAGAACTGAAAAGTTGAAAAATTGAGAAATCTAAATTTAAAAAACGAAAAATTGAAAATCCAAAAAGTAAAAAGTTTAGAAATCGAAAAATCCAGAACTCGAAAAATCGAAAAATTGAACAAAATATCCAAAAAAATGGGAAATTAAAAAACTGAAAAATTGATAAATCAAAGACGTGGAAAATCGAAAAATTGAAGAACTGAAGGATCGAAACTTTGGGAAATCGAGAAATTGGAAAGTCAAAAAATATATTAATTGAGAAATCGGAAAACTGAAAATTCAGAAATGTCAAAATTTGACAAATTAAAAAAATATTGAACTGAAAAATCGAAATACTAAAAAATCCCAAAACTCAAATATCGAAAAAATAAACGACATACCAAAAATTTGGAAATAAGAAAACTGAAAAATTGAGAAATCGAAAAGTCAAAAAAGCAAAGTCGAAAAATTGATAAATCGAGAAATTGGAAAGTCAAAAAATATATTAATTGAGATATCGGAAAACTGAAAATTCAGAAATGTCAAAATTTGACAAATTAAAAAATATTGAACTGAAAAATCGAAATACTAAAAAATCTCAAAATTCAAATATTGAAAAATTAAACGAAATATCCAAAAATTTGGAAATAAGAAAACTGAAAAATTGAGAAATCGAAAAGTCAAAAAAGCAAAGTCGAAAAACTGAAAAATCAAAGACCTGGAAAATCGAAAAATTGAAGAATTGAAAGATCGAAACTTTGGGAAAACGAGAATTTGGTAAATCAAAAAATAGATTAATTGAGGAATCGGAAAACTGAAAAATAGAAATGTCAAAATTTGAAAAATTAAAAAATATTGAACTGGAAAATCGAAAAATCTATCATTTAAAGCATAGAAAAATTAAAATATCGTAAAATTGAAAAATGGAGGAATCTAAACATCAAAAAATCAAAAAATTGAAAATTCCAAAATGAAAAAAATTGGAAAATGGAAAAATCGGATAATTTAAAAATGGAAACATCGAAAAATCGAAAGAGAGAAAAATCGAGGAGTCGAAGAGTTGGGGAGTCGAAAATTTGGAGGCCAAAATCGAAAAGTTAAAAATAGAAAATTTGATAAATCGAGAGACTGAACAATGGAAACATCCGAATCTCCATAAATCGAGAACTCAAAAAATTGTAAAATCGAAAAATCTAGAATTTCCAAAATGAAAAATTTAAAAACCAAAAGTTGAAAAAACGAAAAACTGGAATTCCAAAAAATAAAAACTCGAAAAATCGGAAAGTCGAAGAAACAAGATATTGAAAAACCCCAAAACTGAAAGAATGTCCAAAAATTGAGAAATTAAAAATTGAAAAATTTAAATACATATCGTAAATTCTAAAACTGAAATGTCGAAAAATTGGAAACACGAACATTCGTAAACGTGGAAATCGGGAAATCCAAAAATTGAAAAAAGGCGAAATCGGAACATCAAAAGATCCATAAGTCGAGAAGTCGAAAAATTTAAACTTAAAAACCCGATATATCGGAAAACTGAAAAATCGATGTATCGAAAAACTGAAAAATTAATTTCGAAAAATTGAAAAATCATATAAGAAATCGGAAAGACGAAAAATCGGAAGGTCAAAAAAAATCTTGAAAGACGAAAAATCGAAGTCGAAAAATTAAAAAATCCATTAATCGAGATTTTGAGAAATTGAAACGGTGAAAAAACCATCGCGGCGATTTACACTCAATGGTACTCCGAAGTCCTACTCAGACGCGTCAGCGCCGGCAACATCGTCTTTTCCACAAACCAAAGATCCTTCGTGTGTTTAACCGCAGAAGCTTCCATTCCCTTCAACCCTGAAGAGTACTCCGACGTGAACGAGCTGCGCGCCCTAGCCGAACTAATCGGTCCCTACGACATGAAGCAACTAAGCGAAACCTTAATGTGGCACATCGCTAGTCAAGTCGTCGAACTAAAGAAACTCGCTGAAACCAACAAAGAAGTCCTACTCTCTCTCCGCACCAACTTCGACAAACCCGAAGTGATGAAAGAACAGTTCAAGAAGCTCTCCAACGTCGAGAACGTCCTCCAACGAATGACCATAGTAGGAGTGATCCTCAGTTTCCGCCAACTATCGCAGTCGTGTCTCACTGACGTCCTCGAGCAAAGAATCCCGTTCTTGTTGAGCTCCATTCTGGACTTCCGCCACCATTTACCCAGTGGCGACCCGCTCAAAGTCGTCAGTGAGATGACTTCCGCGGCGGGGATCCCCTGCAAGGTTGACCCCACTCTGGTGAACGCGCTCAAGATGCAGAAACCCGAAACCGACGTCGACGAACACTTGTTCGTGTGTTTGTTGATGGTGTTCGTGGCGGTTTCCATCCCGAAGTTGGCGCGGCAAGACCAGTCGTTCTATAGAGCGTCGCTGGAAGGTCACACTAACAATATCCACTGTATGGCGCTGGCGGTGAACCACATCTTCGGCGCGTTGTTCACCATTTGCAACCAAGGGGATATGGAAGATCGCATGAAGGAGTTTCTGGCTTTGGCGTCGTCGAGTTTGCTGCGTTTGGGGCAAGAAGCGGACAAAGAAGCTACGAAAAATAGAGAGAGTGTGTATTTGCTGTTGGACCAGATTGTACAAGAGTCGCCTTTTCTTACCATGGACTTGCTGGAGTCCTGTTTCCCGTATGCTCTTATTCGTAATGCTTACCATGCTGTGTACAAGCAGGAACAGATGTTGGCTTAGGGTATTTATTTTGTGCCAATTTTGTTCACTTTTATTTATTTTTTTCGACTTCTAGATACTGTTACTTTATTGTTTTCGTTAGAAACTGAAGCAATTCCTGTTACAGCACGTGTATCATTAGGTATTTGTGTATTCCATAACCTTTTATAGTACCTATTGCAATAAAATATTTTATAAAGATTTGAAACGGTTGCTTGGTTTATTCTTTATTTCAAGAAGCGTTCTCTGAATCCTTTTAACCATTCTTAGAAAAATAGATTTACATGTACACATTTAAAGTAACAACAAAATCGTGTTAGAATAACTAACGACGTTCTTATAACTATTCACACCTAACATCCAGGTCCTATCAGTACACAAAAATAAAGCTCTCACCAAAGCACGGTTGTAAACATTTAGAAATGCCAAAGAATTAATTTGAAGTGCCGAATTTCGGATGTCCAGGAATTCGACATGCTCAAGTTTTATTGATCGGAAAATTAAAGTCCCTAGAATGCTCACTAGTTAGGGCTGCCAACCCCCAGAGAAAAATTCTGGGGAATTGGAGCACCAAGTACACACTTTGAAAAGATATATTATATAACACAAGTACTTATTTTGTTTCAACTAATAATATTCAAACATTCAAGCTTACTTTACCTCGTACGGCCGAATAAGCTACTTTTTTTTAAATACGTGATTGTTAACTACACATATATGGAAGATATCACCCTGAGATTGATTATTGAGTTATTTTTAAAAATTATACAATGAGTTGCAAGTTTTGTGTTTGTACGTCATGACTTCCTTCCAACTCAAGACTTTGATCATTTAGGATATAGTGGACTTTTGTAATTCCTTAAATGTCCTTAATTGTTGGTATCCAGAGGGGTATTAAGTTCCTCCGCCTGATCTCTATGGGTTGCCATAATTCCCTAAACACAAACAATTGAAGTTAAGCATGCACTGATAATATATTTTTACTTCACTTACTTCTGCAAGACTTTACTTTTTGCAAAGAGAAAGTCTTGCAGGTAACTTGTCTTTTTTTATATATAAAAAAATCTGGAGGATCCGTGGAGCGGCTTTTTTTTAAATATCTGATGTTTCGGTTTTGAAATTTTAACTTAATTTAATTAAAATTGTTAAATGTTTATAACAACAAAAATATACCAAAAAACAAAAAAAAAATGAACCCAATTTTGACAGCAATGTAAGGTAGGGTTGTGACAGTTCTACCAACTTCAAGCAAAATTTGTCGATACCAACTGTAACAGTGATTCTTGATCATGTCGTACAAAGTATAAGTTTCTGTTTAGTATAACATCCGACCAGATAAAATAAATCTCCAAAACACAAACCCTTGCTAAGTATATTCTTCTGTCGAATGGGAGTGGAAACTAATAGAACCTAGATTGTGAAAAACGTAAAAAAATAAAGAACTAAAAAATTTCTTGTACAAAAAATTTAGTTCAACTTTTAGAAAAAAAAATGGACGGGTGGGTGGGCGGGGCTAAATTTAACTTTTCCTTATCGAGTTTTTCATAAGCAAGAAATAGCCCCACCCACCCACCCCCTTTTCTTTCTAGTGACTACTCTTAATACTGTTAATTAATGACAATATTATTATTTTATTAGAATCTTCGGCAAATCCATTAAACCGTTACTTAATTTTGTTCAGTCATATCTTAGCAAGTACTAGCCCACCCACCCACCCTCTATTTTCTAGAGGGTGTTATTTGTCCAAATTGGTCTTATCTCAGTGATCGAAAAATCGAAAAATTGAAAAATTGAATTATCGAAAAATCAAAAAAATGTCGAAAAATGAAAAAACTAGATACCGAAAAGTGGCCAAAACTGATGCTGAAAAAATTGAGAAATTGAAAACTTGAAAAATCGGGAAATCTAACAATCGAAAAGTCGAAAAATTGAAGAACTGAAAAACCGAGAAATCGAAAAATCTAAACTTTAAAACATTGAAAAATTCAAACATCGAAAAATTAAAACAAATTGGAAAAGCCCAAAATTTAAAAATTGAAATGCATATAGAAGAACTGAAAAGTTGAAAAATTGAGAAATCTAAATTTAGAAAACGAAAAATTGAAAATCCAAAAAGTAAAAAGTTTAGAAATCGAAAAATCCAGAAATCGAAAAATTGAACAAAATATCCAAAAAAATGCAAAATTAAAAAAGTGAAAAATTGATAAATCGAAGACCTGGAAAATCGAAAATTTGAAGAACTGAAGGTTCGAAACTTTGGGAAATCGAGAAATTGGAAAGTCAAAAAATATATTAATTGAGAAATCGGAAAACTGAAAATTCAGAAATGTCAAAATTTGAAAAATTAAAAAATATTGAACTGAAAAATCGAAATACTAAAAAATCCCAAGACTCAAATATCGAAAAAATTTGGAAATAAGAAAACTGAAAAATTGAGAAATCGAAAAGTCAAAAAAGCAAAGTCGAAATACTCAAAAATCAAAGACCTGGAAAATCGAAAAATTGAAGAACTGAAAGATCGAAACTTTGGGAAAATGAGAATTTGGTAAATCAAAAAATAGATTAATTGAGGAATCGGAAAACTGAAAATTCAGAAATGTCAAAATTTGAAAAATTAAAAAATATTGAAGAACTGGAAAATCGAAAAATTGAACAAAATATCCAAAAAAATGGGAAATTACAAAACTGAAAAATTGATAAATCAATGGCCTGGAGTATCGAAAATTTGAAGAACTGAAGGATCGAAACTTTGGGAAATCGAGAAATTGGAAAGTCAAAAAATATATTAATTGAGAAATCGGAAAACTGAAAATTCAGAAATGTCAAAATTTAAAAAATATTGAAGAACTGGAAAATCGAAAAATTGAACAAAATATCCAAAAAAATGGGAAATTAAAAAACTGAAAAATTGATAAATCAATGGCCTGGAAAATCGAAAATTTGAAGAACTGAAGGATCGAAATCTTGGGAAATCGAGAAATTGGAAAGTCAAAAAATATATTAATTGAGAAATCGGAAAACTGAAAATTCTGAAATGTCAAAATTTGAAAAATTAAAAAATATGAACTGAAAAATCGAAATACTAAAAAATCATAAAACTGAAATATCGAAAAATTAAACGAAATATCCAAAAATTTGGAAATAAGAAAACCGAAAAATTGAGAAATCGAGAAGTCAAAAAAGCAAAGTCGAAAAACTGAAAAATCAAAGACCTGGAAAATCGAAAAATTGAACTGAAAGATCGAAACTTTGGGAAAACGAGAATTTGGTAAATCAAAAAATTGATTAATTGAGGAATCGGAAAACTGAAAATTAGAAATGTCAAAATTTGAAAAATTAAAAAATATTAAAGAACTGGAAAATCGAAAAATTGAACAAAATATCCAAAAAAATGGGAAATTAAAAAACTGAAAAATTGATAAATCAATGGCCTGGAAAATCGAAAATTTGAAGAACTGAAAGATTGAAACTTCGGGAAATCGAGAAATTGGAAAGTCAAAAAATATATTAATTGAGAAATCGGAAACCTGAATATTCAGAAATGTCAAAATTTGAAAAATTAAAAAATATTGAACTGAAAAATCGAAATACTAAAAAATCCCAAAACTCAAATATCGAAAAATTAAACGAAATATCCAAAAATTTGGAAATAAGAAAACAGAACAATTGAGAAATCGAAAAGTCAAAAAAGCAAAGTCGAAAAATTGATAAATTAAAGACCTGGAAAATCGAAAAATTGAAGAACTGAAAGATCGAAACTTTGGGAAAACGAGAATTTGGTAAATCAAAAAATAGATTAATTGAGAAATCGGAAAACGGAAAATTCAGAAATGTCAAAATTTGAAAAATCAAAAATATTGAACTGAAAAATCGAAATACTAAACAATCCCAAAACTCAAATGTCGAAAAATTAAACGAAATATCCAAAACTTTGGAAATACGAAAACTGAAAATTTAAGAAATCGAAAAGTCAAAAAAGCAAAGTCGAAAAACTGAAAAATCAAAGACCTGGAAAATCGAAAAATTGAAGAACTGAAAGATCGAAACTTTGGGAAAACGAGAATTTGGTAAATCAAAAAATTGATTAATTGAGGAATCGGAAAACTGAAAATTCAGAAATGTCAAAATTTGAAAAATTAAAAAATATTGAACTGGAAAATCGAAAATCTATCATTTAAAGCATAAAAAAATTAAAATATCGTAAAATTGAAAAATGGAGGAATCTAAACATCAAAAAATCAAAAAATTAAAAATTCAAAAATCGAAAATGAAAAAAATTGGAAAATTGAAAAATCGGATAATTTAAAAATGGAAACATCGAAAAATCGAAAGAGAGAAAAATCGAGGAGTCGAAGAGTTGGGGAGTCGAAAAATTGGAGGCCAAAATCGAAAAGTTAAAAATAGAAAATTTGATAAATCGAGAGACTCAACAATGGAAACATCTGAATCTCCATAAATCGAGAACTCAAAAAATTGTAAAATCGAAAAATCTAGAGTTTCCAAAATGAAAAATTTAAAAACCAAAAGTTTAAAAAACGAAAAACTGGAATTCCAAAAAATAAAAACTCGAAAAATCATAAAGTCGAAGAAACAAAATATTGAAAAACCCCAAAACTGAAAGAATGTCCAAAAATTGAGAAATTAAAAATTGAAAAATGTAAATACATATCGTAAATTCTAAAACTGAAATGTCGAAAAATTGGAAAACCGAAAAATCGAAGATGAATTATTGAAAAACTAAAAAATCGAAATATTGAAAAATCGCGATCCAATGATCGAGAAGCCGAAAAATAAAAAAAATGAGAAATGGAAGTGGCTAAAAATCGAAAATGGGAAAAAAAAAATTGAAAATTTTTAAATTAAAAAATAATTGTTTGTGAGTGTTTATGGCATTGTGGCAGCCCGCAGCGAGAAGGCGGAGCAGCTTAATACCCCTAGACTCTACGTACCGACAATATTTTTGCGTACATATTTCTTCCTACTGGTAACACTGATTCTTATTGTCTAGACAGCAATATTTCGACAAAATCTATATGTATATGTGATCAATCAACAAAAACTGGCGTAAACTTTTCTGTGCTTTGCAGCCGACGGGGCTCTTTTTTACAGTAATTCAGTCAAAACCACAGCAGTGGTACCAACAAAGAAAAAACTGTAAGAGTCGAATGCAACACAACTTTCGTTTACTTTTTTCAAAATGTGTTCCTTGTTTTTCAGAGACTCAGGAACTTTAATTTTTCAACCAAAAAACTAGCTGCACAGTACGAAATCCCGTCACTACCGAAATTACAAAAAAGAACAATTCTGGTTTTAGTGGACTTTTCTGTTTCTGCATTTTGTCGTCTGAGTGGGTGTAGGAAGGTCGTTAAAAAATTTTTGGTGCCCAGCTGCGATTTAGATCACGTCCTGCGTTTAACGAGTGTGACGTTTTACAAGCTATACTCTGAATGACAAACATACAACAGAAACAGAGAACACCAACCTATTTATACAAATATCACAACCTATTCTGTTCGAGGCGATTGTGGGAGGAGGTGTAACGGCCAATCGGGTTGCAAATTTCTTACCTCCTTTGACAATCTGGTAGCATGCACATCAAACAATGAAACACAGCACACATATGAAAATCGTATTTCTTTATTTTATGTTACATTTGACAATAACACATTGTTTTTTTGACAGTATTATAAAAAGTCGTAGAGACTTGGTACAAGTTATTTTCTTTTAAGCACATGCAAAAATGATTGGTCGCGAGGATGGATGTTACCTACTAGCCGAAAACGGTTTACGAAAAAATGACGCGTTTAATAAAACAATAGCTAGATGTAGGTAAGATCCACCACTCAAAAACAAACGTGACAAAGTGATACAATTTCATATAAAACAAATAGTATTCCAATATTTACATAAAGTATTTTACAATTTTTCCCATAAAATATACACGATTTGTCCATCAAGACATACAAAAACAGCAAATTATAATTTTATCACATATTTCTGAATTCAACAATACCAAAAATGGTAGTCTGTGTCCTTCATATAAAAATAGTAAACTTTTGAGGACAAAATGAGATCTCTGCGTCAAAAAATGTCAATGTTGCACAATTTTCAATCTTGGCCTCACAAGAAATGGTTGTGATGTCTATTTAACAGTAAGACACCCACTTTAATATTTCACACTTGTTCTTACACAAAGTACTAAAACTACGGTTTGAACACTTAAACACAAAGTATGTGTTATGGATAAATCAAGCTCAAACTAGACCAATTCATCCATAAACATAACACAAAGAACATTGATCAACGTTGTTCTGACAGGAAAAAGGAGTCGTGATATGCGCCGAGAGGGACCCGTAATTTCCCGAACTTGTACGGAAACTCCAAAAAAGCGGGAAAAGTCGTGACAAACGAATTCGGTACGCATGCGCGTCTGAGTATTTGGAACGGAACAAGCGAACTTTTCCTCTCTTTTCGGATGCTAACGCGGTATCCCCTCCAGTAAACATCAATATTTAAAGTGGGTGTTGGATCTATATTTGGTGCGAAAATGGCAAGTAAATAAATAAATAAAACTATTTGTTTCATGGATAAATAAAATCTACATAAAATCGTCCATCTCTAAAACGATCCAATTCCCTAAACTCTCAACAAAACATCAGCCTTTTCTCAAAGGAAGCTAACTAATTCATAAAAACAGATCGTCCAATTTGAAAATCCCTAAAATTAAAGGTGACTAACCGTTTGCACCCGTTTCAATCATCTGAATCATCAGCATCGTAAGGTTCGATTATTATCACACGCACTTTAAAACTATCGTAGCGGTATTTTTTTTTGTTTGCCATCACAGTGCCTGACGTTGGCCAAATTTGCAACGAGTCCCTCTCTCTCCTCGACGATCAAGTGGACTCACCCCTGCCACTCAACTCCTTGCGGTGATGGTGGTGGTGATGGCGATGGTTATGGCTGCTGGTGGAAGCGACACCGGGACCCTCGAAATGTATGTTGGCCATTGGCGTGTCGGAGTACTCCGGGGGCGGCGGGACCCGAATGTCTCCGACTTGTTCGTTCTGTCAAACTTTGTTCCGCATCTCGTAAGCATTGCGATCGTAAGCCCCGGCGTAGGGATGGTTACTTTGGCGATTGTAATTGGCCGGAGGGGCTGTGGCTAGTGGGGAATATTCTATTAATCGGGGAAAATAAGTCGATTGTTAGTGGATCGTGTCTACTGCCAAAATAAAATTATGAGTGTGCTGAAATGTGAGGCGGACTGCATCAACCGAATCTTTTTGACTACAAAATTACACAACAAACAAGAGTCAAAAAAGAGACGGAAAATACGTTTAAGCTTGGCGCAAAATAAGACAAAACGGGATACAGACAGTGGCGGCTCCTCGGGGTGGGCAGGGTGGGCAATGCCCACCCTATTTGATTTTTTATGATACGAAGTAAAATATTGATTTTTTTTCTTTTTTAAAATATTTTATATGTATACACAATCATGTGAGGATGGGCTAGTCCACCCTGGCCCACCCTCTTGATTGTAAGCAACGACATACGTTCGGTTTTCTATGTACGTAATTGAGAGTAAAGAATTCGAAACGCGCGTCTTTGCATATCCGTGTTTTCTTGCTTAAAGCGGGGCAGGACGCCCTGGCCTCAACGTATATCTCAAATAATAATTCAATAAATTAATTTCGATTTTTTTACTTCTTCTGTATTGTAAAAGTATAGAGGTAATTATTTTTATTACTCTATTGAAATATGGGTAAGGTAATAAGGAAAATAATGTTATGCGAAAATTCTTGAATACTATTTTTATAGAAAAGAGCAACACCATAATAATTAATAAATACTTTTTCATATCAAATGAAAATTTGTAATAACCATATTCTTGTATTATGACACCGTGTAAACTTTATAATGAATTATAAATTTAAAAATCCGAATAACCAATGATGAGAATAAGTAATACATTTATTATTGCAGTACGTATCTGACATGTGTATTTTTTTATTATTACATATGCATTTTTGTTTCATAAATATAACTGTAGCAGAGTCAACAAAAGTTAAATATACGCTTAATTTATTATTTAATTCAGACTGTCCGCACAGGTTTATTACGTGTTCGCTCTAGCATTGTTTAAGTATATTATAGTTGGACAACCTATACGGAGAATCACTTTTCCATGTAGAAAAGAATGAACATATATTTTACATCTCACTCGCTTCACTGTGAAGTGGCGGTACCTTACGAAAAGAGGTAAAAATAGTCTGTAAGCACGTGATGTCGATAAGGTAGTAAAAAAAATCGAAAAATAAAAAAAATTGGACAATCGAAAATTTAAATATTCCGAAAATTGAAAGATTAAAATATAGAAGAACTGAAAACTCAAAAAATCGAAAAACTGAAAAATCACAAAATTGAACGAAACATCCAAAAATTAGGAAATTAAAAAATTGAGAAACAGAAAAGTCAAAAAATCGCAAACTTAAAAAATCGAAAAATTGAAAAATCAAAAACCTGAATAATCGAAAAATTGAAGAAATGAAGAACGGAAAAATCGAGACACCGAAAAATCTAGAAATTTAAAAATTAAAATGTGGAAAAACTGAAAAATTGAGAAATTGAAATATAAAACAATCGAAAAATTGAAAAATTGAATGTATAAAAAACGAAAAACTGAAAACCCAAAAATAAAAAATCGAAAAATCTAGAGATCGAAAAATCAAAGAATCGAAGTATTGAAAAATATCAAAACTGAAAGAAATATCCAAAAATTGAGAAATCGAAAAACCAATAAAGCGAAGTCGAAAAATTGAAGAATTGAAGAACTGAAAAACCGAAACTTTGAGAAGTGGGAAAATCAAAAATAGATTAATTGAAAAAAAAAAATATAGAAGAACTGAAAACTCAAAAAATCGAAAAAACTAATAATACAAAAATTGAAAAGTTAAAATTGAGAAATCGAAAAACTGAAAAATCACAAAATTGAACGAAACATCCAAAAATTAGGAAATTAAAAAATTGAGAAACAGAAAAGTCAAAAAAGCAGAGTCAAAAAATCGCAAACTTAAAAAATCGAAAAATTGAAAAATCAAAAACCTGAATAATTGAAAAATTGAAGAAATGAAGAACGGAAAAATCGAGACGCCGAAAAATCTAGAAATTTAAAAATTAAAATATGGAAAAGTTGAAAAATTGAGAAATTGAAATACAAAACAATCGAAAAATTGAAAAATTGAATGTATAAAAATCGAAAAACTGAAAACCCAAAAATAAAAAATCGAAAAATCTAGAGGTCGAAAAATCAAAGAATCGAAGTATTGAAAAATATCAAAACTGAAAGAAATATCCAAAAATTGAGAAATCGAAAAACCAATAAAGCGAAGTCGAAAAATTGAAGAATTGAAGAACTGAAAAACCGAAACTTTGAGAAGTGGGAAAATCAAAAATAGATTAATTGAAAAAAAAAAAAAATAGAAGAACTGAAAACTCAAAAAATCGAAAAAACTAATAATATAAAAATTGAAAAGTTAAAATTGAGAAATCGAAAAACTGCAAAATCACAAAATTGAACGAAACATCCAAAAATTAGGAAATTAAAAAATTGAGAAACAGAAAAGTCAAAAAAGCAGAGTCAAAAAATCGCAAACTTAAAAAATCGAAAAATTGAAAAATCAAAAACCTGAATAATCGAAAAATTGAAGAAATGAAGAACGGAAAAATCGAGACACCGAAAAATCTAGGAATTTAAAAATTAAAATATGGAAAAGTTGAAAAATTGAGAAATTGAAATATAAAACAATCGAAAAATTGAAAAATTTAATGTATAAAAAACGAAAAACTGAAAACCCAAAAATAAAAAATCGAAAAATCTAGAGGTCGAAAAATCAAAGAATCGAAGTATTGAAAAATATCAAAACTGAAAGAAATATCCAAAAATTGAGAAATCGAAAAACCAATAAAGCGAAGTCGAAAAATTGAAGAATTGAAGAACTGAAAATCCGAAACTTTGAGAAGTGGGAAAATCAAAAATAGATTAATTGAAAAATCAGAAAACTGAAAATTTAACGTCAAAATCTTTTCATTGAAAAATTTAAATACTCAAGAACTGAGAAGCCAAAAAATCGAGAAATCGAAAAATCAAAGATTTAAAACATTGAACAATTAAAATATCGCAAAATTGAAGAATCGAGAAATCCAATTTAATTTAAAAAATTGAAAAATTGAAAAATCGGAACATTAAAAAATCGAAAAATTGAAAAATCAAAAACCTGAATAATCGAAAAATTGAAGAACTGAAGAACGGAAAAATCGAGACACCGAAAAATCTAGAAATTTAAAAACTAAAATATGGAAAAGTTGAAAAATTGAGAAATTGAAATATAAAACAATCGAAAAATTGAAAAATTTAATGCATAAAAAACGAAAAACTGAAAACCCAAAAATAAAAAATCGAAAAATCTAGAGGTCGAAAAATCAAAGAATCGAAGTATTGAAAAATATCAAAACTGAAAGAAATATCCAAAAATTGAGAAATCGAAAAACCAATAAAGCGAAGTCGAAAAATTGAAGAATTGAAGAACTGAAAAACCGAAACTTTGAGAAGTGGGAAAATGAAAAATAGATTAATTGAAAAAAAAATATAGAAGAACTGAAAACTCAAAAAATCGAAAAAACTAATAATATAAAAATTGAAAAGTTAAAATTGAGAAATCGAAAAACTGAAAAATCACAAAATTGAACGAAACATCCAAAAATTAGGAAATTAAAAAATTGAGAAACAGAAAAGTCAAAAAAGCAGAGTCAAAAAATCGCAAACTTAAAAAATCGAAAAATTGAAAAATCAAAAACCTGAATAATCGAAAAATTGAAGAAATGAAGAACGGAAAAATCGAGACACCGAAAAATCTAGAAATTTAAAAATTAAAATATGGAAAAGTTGAAAAATTGAGAAATTGAAATATAAAACAATCGAAAAATTGAAAAATTTAATGCATAAAAAACGAAAAACTGAAAACCCAAAAATAAAAAATCGAAAAATCAAGAGGTCGAAAAATCAAAGAATCGAAGTATTGAAAAATATCAAAACTGAAAGAAATATCCAAAAATTGAGAAATCGAAAAACCAATAAAGCGAAGTCGAAAAATTGAAGAATTGAAGAACTGAAAAACCGAAACTTTGAGAAGTGGGAAAATCAAAATTAGACTAATTGAAAAAAAAATATAGAAGAACTGAAAACTCAAAAAATCGAAAAAACTAATAATATAAAAATTGAAAAGTTAAAATTGAGAAATCGAAAAACTGAAAAATCACAAAATTGAACGAAACATCCAAAAATTAGGAAATTAAAAAATTGAGAAACAGAAAAGTCAAAAAAGCCGAGTCAAAAAATCGCAAACTTAAAAAATCGAAAAATTGAAAAATCAAAAACCTGAATAATCGAAAAATTGAAGAACTGAAGAACTGAAAAATCGAGACACCGAAAAATCTAGAAATTTAAAAATTGAAATATGGAAAAGTTGAAAAATCGAAAAATTGAAATATAAAACAATCGAAAAATTGAAAAATTTAATGTATAAAAAACGAAAAACTGAAAACCCAAAAATAAAAAATCGAAAAATCAAGAGGTCGAAAAATCAAAGAATCGAAGTTTTGAAAAATATCAAAACTGAAAGAAATATCCAAAAATTGAGAAATCGAAAAACCAATAAAGCGAAGTCGAAAAATTGAAGAATTGAAGAACTGAAAAACCGAAACTTTGAGAAGTGGGAAAATCAAAAATAGATTAATTGAAAAAAAAAATATAGAAGAACTGAAAACTCAAAAAATCGAAAAAACTAATAATATAAAAATTGAAAAGTTAAAATTGAGAAATCGAAAAACTGAAAAATCCAAAATTGAACGAAACATCCAAAAATTAGGAAATTAAAAAATTGAGAAACAGAAAAGTCAAAAAAGCAGAGTCAAAAAATCGCAAACTTAAAAAATCGAAAAATTGAAGAAATGAAGAACGGAAAAATCGAGACACCGAAAAATCTAGAAATTTAAAAATTAAAATATGGAAAAGTTGAAAAATTGAGAAACTGAAATATAAAACAATCGAAAAATTGAAAAATTTAATGTATAAAAAACGAAAAACTGAAAACCCAAAAATAAAAAATCGAAAAATCTAGAGGTCGAAAAATCAAAGAATCGAAGTATTGAAAAATATCAAAACTGAAAGAAATATCCAAAAATTGAGAAATCGAAAAACCAATAAAGCGAAGTCGAAAAATTGAAGAATTGAAAAACCGAAACTTTGAGAAGTGGGAAAATCAAAAATAGATTAATTGAAAAAAAAAATATAGAAGAACTGAAAACTCAAAAAATCCAAAAAAACTAATAATATAAAAATTGAAAAGTTAAAATTGAGAAATCGAAAAACTGAAAAATCACAAAATTGAACGAAACATCCAAAAATTAGGAAATTAAAAAATTGAGAAACAGAAAAGTCTAAAAAGCAGAGTCAAAAAATCGCAAACTTAAAAAATCGAAAAATTGAAAAATCAAAAACCTGAATAATCGAAAAATTGAAGAACTGAAGAACGGAAAAATCGAGACACCGAAAAATCTAGAAATTTAAAAATTAAAATATGGAAAAGTTGGAAAATTGAGAAATTGAAATATAAAACAATCGAAAAATTGAAAAATTTAATGTATAAAAAACGAAAAACTGAAAACCCAAAAATAAAAAATCGAAAAATCTAGAGGTCGAAAAATCAAAGAATCGAAGTATTGAAAAATATCAAAACTGAAAGAAATATCCAAAAATTGAGAAATCGAAAAACCAATAAAGCGAAGTCAAAAATTGAAGAATTGAAGGACTGAAAAACCGAAACTTTGAGAAGTGGGAAAATCAAAAATAGATTAATTGAAAAAAAAAAATATAGAAAAACTGAAAACTCAAAAAATCGAAAAACTGAAAAATCACAAAATTGAACGAAACATCCAAAAATTAGGAAATTAAAAAATTGAGAAACAGAAAAGTCAAAAAAGCAGAGTCAAAAAATCGCAAACTTAAAAAATCGAAAAACTGAAAAATCAAAAACCTGAATAATCGAAAAATTGAAGAAATGAAGAACGGAAAAATCGAGACACCGAAAAATCTAGAAATTTAAAAATTAAAATATGGAAAAGTTGAAAAATTGAGAAATTAAAATATAAAACAATTGAACAAAATTGAAAAATTTAATGTATAAAAAAACGAAAAACTGAAAACCCAAAAATAGAAAAATCGAAAAATCTAGAGGTCGAAAAATCAAAGAATCGAAGTATTGAAAAATATCAAAACTGAAAGAAATATCCAAAAATTGAGAAATCGAAAAACCAATAAAGCGAAGTCGAAAAATTGAAGAATTGAAGAACTGAAAAACCGAAACTTTGAGAAGTGGGAAAATCAAAAATAGATTAATTGAAAAAAAATATAGAAGAACTGAAAACTCAAAAAATCGAAAAAACTAATAATATAAAAATTGAAAAGTTAAAATTGAGAAATCGAAAAACTGAAAAATCACAAAATTGAACGAAACATCCAAAAATTAGGAAATTCAAAAATTGAGAAACAGAAAAGTCAAAAAACAGAGTCAAAAAATCGCAAACTTAAAAAATCGAAAAATTGAAAAATCAAAAACCTGAATAATCGAAAAATTGAAGAAATGAAGAACGGAAAAATCGAGACACCGAAAAATCTAGAAATTTAAAAATTAAAATATGGAAAAGTTGAAAAATTGAGAAATTGAAATATAAAACAATCGAAAAATCAAAGAATCGAAGTATTGAAAAATATCAAAACTGAAAGAAATATCCAAAAATTGAGAAATCGAAAAACCAATAAAGCGAAGTCGAAAAATTGAAGAATTGAAGAACTGAAAAACCGAAACTTTGAGAAGTGGGAAAATCAAAAATAGATTAATTGAAAAATCAGAAAACTGAAAATTTAACGTCAAAATCTTTTCATTGAAAAATTTAAATACTGAAGAACTGAGAAGCCAAAAAATCGAGAAATCGAAAAATCAAAGATTTAAAACATTGAACAATTAAAATATCGCAAAATTGAAGAATCGAGAAATCCAATTTAATTTAAAAAATTGAAAAATTGAAAAATCGGAACATTAAAAAATCGAAAAATTGAAAAATCAAACACCTGAATAATCGAAAAATTGAAGAAATGAAGAACGGAAAAATCGACACACCGAAAAATCTAGAAATTTAAAAATTAAAATATGGAAAAGTTGAAAAATTGAGAAATTGAAATATAAAACAATCGAAAAATTGAAAAATTTAATGTATAAAAAACGAAAAACTGAAAACCCAAAAATAAAAAATCGAAAAATCTAGAGGTCGAAAAATCAAAGAATCGAAGTATTGAAAAATATCAAAACTGAAAGAAATATCCAAAAATTGAGAAATCGAAAAAACAATAAAGCGAAGTCGAAAAATTGAAGAATTAAAGAACTGAAAAACCGAAACTTTGAGAAGTGGGAAAATCAAAAATACATTAATTGAAAAATCAGAAAACTGAAAATTTAACGTCAAAATCTATTCATTGAAAAATTTAAATACTGAAGAATTGAGAAGCCAAAAAATCGAGAAATCGAAAAATCTAAGATTTAAAACATTGAGCAATTAAAATATAGCAAAATTGAAGAATCGAGAAATCCAATTCAATTTAAAAAATTGAAAAATCGGAACATTAAAAAATTGGAAAATCCAGAAATTGAGAAGCTCAAAAGAAAAAACCGAGAAACCGAGAAATCCAAAAATCGAAACATCGAAAAATTCAAAAACTGAGACATCGAAAAATCGAAGGATCGAGAAATTGAGGAGTCGTAAGTCGAAAAGGAAAGTTAAAAATGGAAAAATTGATAAATTGAGAAACTGAACAATCAAAACAACGAAACATCTGAATTCGATAAATTGAGAAATTAAAAAATGGAATAATCGAAAAATTTTAAAAAAGAAAAACTGGAAAATCGAAAATTAAAATACAGAAGTACCTATTGAAAACTCGAGATATCGAAAAACCTAGAATTTTAAAAAATGAAATATTAAAACATCGAAAAAAAATCGAAGTATAAAACAGTCGAAGAATTGAAAAATCTAAAGTTCAACAATAAATTGAAAATCCAAAAAGTAAAAATCGAGAAATGGAAAATTTGAAGAATGGAAGAATTGGAAAAGCTCAAAATCGAAATATTGAAAAATTGAGACATTCAAAGTTGAAAAATCGAGAAATCGAAAAGCCTAAAAGTCGCAATAGGGTATTTATAAATCACAAGATCAGGACTATGCTATTTTTTAAAATTTAAATAACATAAATAACATTCTAAATTGGAAAATGTTCATATGGTTCGTCCTCGTCGGAGACACGACTCAATTGAATTCAGTCAGATCAGAAACTGCAGTCTGGATAGTGCATTTAATTATAAAATGTAGCTTATTCAAATTACCAAATAGTTAGGCGGGTACCAAAGTAGGTACTTTCTAGCATTTTTTTTAATGGCAAATCTTACTGTAAGCTGTGCAAATAATATTAGAGAGGTGGTAAAGAAGGCATTAAAGACATTGAGTTTTTGTTTTTAATAAATAAATTCAGTAGTATGGAACTTCATATTTATGAATTATTTGTTTATAAATTAAGATCATGTCCCGAAATGAAACAATTGGTCATCATAAACTCTCGTGGCAGTAATAAAGGCTTTAATCAAAGTTCGGACAATAAATATTAGGTTGATCGGTAGTGAAACGACAAACAAAACTGTTGGAATTATCTGCTATTTAACATAAAATTAAATTACGAATACTTTGGAATTCCACAAGAAGAGCGATATAAAATATGTGAAACTATAGAAAATTCTCTTAAATTCGGCGTTTATTCGATATGATAATTTTCTTGGCTACACAAAAACATACATTTCGGGGACAAGATGAATCGCCAATTTCTCTTAAAGTAAATTCGATGATAAAATTAAAAAGTTTTTTGGAGGAGTCTTTGGTAATTAGTGGTCTTCAGAACGATTATTTTGGAATTATTTTTATTGTATTTGTTATTGTTAACTTTGTTAGTATTTTGAGAATTTATGTTTGGTTTGATTTGGCATTTTTAATTTTGCTTTTACAATAATTTTCTAAATTGCTGCTTTTTCTAAGTGTAGCTTATCTCAAAGGTTTAAAATTTAACGTTTTCTCGTCATGTTATTTCAAAATCTTTACATGTTGGGATCATTATTTGAGTTTATAGTTCTATAAACTCCTAACAAATCTATTTATGTGCTGAACCTTTTTTTGCTCCTCTTTCCTCTTCTAGCAAGAGTCTTCGACGTTCTCGTTGGTTCTTGCTGACCGACATTGTAAGTAACATTTATAAAATAATATATATGTAATATACATAAAATATTTGTTATCTTATATTGATTGACATAACACCAAACAAAAACACGTTCTCACAAAAATGATTAATTATATATATGTATATATTTTTTTGCCAACACCCATCAAAAATCACCACGAGCCGCCACTGGATACAGATGGCGCAATGAACTAGGAAGGAAAGTCCCCAGGATAGAAGACCGGAATATTGTATCTCCAACTCCAATATTCCGTCTTAAGCCTTAACCACGACCACGGAAAACTCCACCACTACAAACCCAAGTCTCCTTCCCCACCCACACCGAAAGCCTCAACACCCATGCTCCCACACAACTTACCTTTCGGGGCATGGTAGTGTCCCCGGCCCTCGCCGTAGCCCGGTCGCGGGCCTTGGTGGCTGGCGCTCGGACGGCCCGACCGCTCCCCCCGACTCCGGTTGCTGTTGGCCGCCGGGGCGTTCTGGGGCGCGTGCTGTGGCGGGCCGTTTTGGTGTCGCTGGAAATTTAATCGTTGGTAAGTTGGTACGGGTGTCCCGGGTGCTACTCACCATTCTTCGCAGGGTGTTCATCGGCCTGCGTAGAGTGTCGCTGATGCGCCTCGCCGGACGTTTCTTCGGGTTGGAGGAGGGCGTGTGTACGGCGCAGCACTTTATGAATAAGCCCATGAAGATGATGAACGCGATGCCCATTAAGAGCACGGCCCACCAGTAATTTGTTATCCATTGGGCCACGCTTAATAATGTTTCCTTGTTCAAGAGGAGGTTCATCAATCTGACGAGGGGGCCGTCCGCGTCCACCGCCCGGCATTTCAGGAACACGTCGCAGTAGCCCTGGAAGCGAAATCGATGATGTAGGGAGGTTGGCAAATTTGGGATGGGAAAACGTGATATGTCTGTCTCTTTCTCGCGGAAAGTGTTAGTGAGGTACAATTCAGAATATATAGGTTCTAGAATAAATATGCAGCCTTAAAAAATTGGCCTCTGAAGTACAGCCCAACAAATTTCGCGAAATCGAACAATTGAAGAATTAAAAAACTGAAATATCAAACAAGCGAAAAATCAAAAATTTAGATAACTCAAAAATCGAGAAATCGAAACATCAAAAAATCGAAAAATTGAAAAATTAAAATTAAAAAATCAAAACTTTAAAAACTGGAAAATCGAAATTGAAAAATTCTAAAACTGAAAGATGAAAAAGCGAAAAATTGAAAAACCGAAATATCGAAACCTAGAAGTCCAAAAATCGAAAAACAATATGAATAGCTCAAATTCGAAAAGGTAAAAAATTTCAAAAATTGAAAAATTGAAAAACCGAAAATCTAAAACCAAGGAGTCGAAAAATTGAAAGGTCGCAAAATCGAGATATCAAAAAAATAAAAAAACGTACATTTAAAAAACAGATCGTGAAATCGAAAAATTGAAATATCAAGCAAGTGAAAAATCAAAAATCGAAAAATCTAAAATTTAGAAAATTATCAAATCAAAATTCTTATCGCACATTTGAAGAATCGAAAGACTGAAAAGTCGAGAAATCGAAATATCAAAAAATCGAAAAATCAAATTTAAAAACTGAAAATTCGAAATTGAAAAATCCGAACCTCAAAAGTTGGAAAATCGAAAAATTGAATAACTGGACCATCGATAAAAATCGGTAAATCGAACAATTGAAAAATCCATAAATTGAACAAACGAAAAAATGAAAAACCGAAATATCTAAACCTAGAAGTCCAAAAATCGAAAAACAGAATAGGAATAGCCCAAATTCGAAAAAGTAAAAAATTTCAAAAATAGAAAAATTAAAAAACCGAAAATCTAAAACCAAGAAAAATTGAAAGGTCGCAAAATCGAGATAAAAAAAATGAAAAAACTTAAATTTTGAAATCGAAAAATTGAAATATCAAACAAGTGAAAAATCAAAATTCGAAAAATCTAAAATTTAGAAAATTAAAAAATCAAAATTCTTATCGCACATTTGAAGAATCGAAATATTGAAAAATCGAGAAATCGAAATATGAAAAAATCGAAAAATCAAATTTAAAAACTGAAAATTCGAAATTGAAAACTCCGAACCTCAAAAGTTGGAAAATCGAAAAATTGAATAACTGGACCATCGATAAATCGAACAATTGAAAAATCCATATAAAAAACCGAAATATCTAAACCTAGAAGTCCAAAAATCGAAAAACAGAAAATAGGAATAACCCAAATTCGAAAAGGTAAAAAATTTTAAAAACAGAAAAATTGAAAAACCGAAAATCTAAAATCAAGAAGTCGAATAATTGAAAGGTCGAAAATCGAGATATCAAAAAAATGAAAAAACTTAAATTTAAAAAAAGATCGTGAAATCGAAAAATTGAAATATCAAACAAGTGAAAAATCAAAAATCGAAAAATCTAAAATTTAGAAAATTAAAAAATCAAAATTCTTATCGAACATTTGAAGAATCGAAAAAACTGAAAAATCGAGAAATGGAAATATCAAAAAATCGAAAAATCAAAATTTAAAAAATCTAAAATTCAAAAACTGAAAAATCGAAATTGAAAAATCCGAGCCTCGAAAAGTTGGAAAATCGAAAAATTGAATAACTGGACTATCGATAAACGAAACATCAAAAAAGTTGAAATTTGAAATTTTTTTTAAATTGAAAAACCCAAACAGCTAAAGCCAGAAGTCCAAAAATCGAAAAACTGAGAAGAGAAATAGCCCAAAATCAAAAATGTGAAAATTGAAAAATATAAAATAAAACAACATTAAAATTCCAGAAATTGAACAATAAGAAAAATCAAAACATCGAAATCTCGGCAAATCGAAAAATTAAAAATTTTTAAACTAGAAAAATTGAAAAGGAGAAAAATCTAAAAACAAGAAGTCGAAAAAATGGAAAGGTCGCAAAATCGATACATCAAAAAAATGAAAAAAATAAAATTTAAAAATTCGAAAAATTGAAAAATAGAAATCTCGGAAACTCAAATATCGTGAAATCGAAAAATATAAAATTTGAAAATCGAGAAATTGAAGGAAGTGAAAAATCAAAAATCAAAAAATCTAAAATTTAGAAAATTAAAGAATCAAAATTCTTATCGAACATTTGAAGAATTGAAAAATCCAAATTGAAAAATTGGAGGACGAAAAATTGGGAAATCGAAATATTGAAAAATCCGAACATCGAAAAGTTGGAAAATCGAAATATAGAAACATCGAAAATCTGAAAAATTGGAACATCGATAAACGAAACATCAAAAAAGTTAAAATTTGTAAAAATAATAAAAAGCGGTAAATTGATAAATCGAAAAATCCATAAATTGAACAAGCGAAAAATTGAAAAACCGAAAATCTAAAACCAAGAAGTTGAATAATTGAAAGGTCGAAAATCGAGATATCAAAAAAATGAAAAAACTTAGATTTAAAAAAGAGATCGTGAAATCGAAAAATTGAAATATCAAACAAGTGAAAAATCAAAAATCGAAAAATCTAAAATTTAGAAAATTAAAAAATCAAAATTCTTATCGCACGTTTGAAGAATCGAAAAACTGAAAAATCGAGAAATCGAAATATCAAAAAATCGAAAAATCAAAATTTAAAAAATCTAAAATTTGAAAACTGAAAAATCGAAATTGAAAAATCCGAACCTCGAAAAGTCGGAAAATCGAAAAATTGAATAACTGGACCATCTATGAACGAAACATAAAAAAAGTTGAAATTTGAAAAATTTTAAAAATCGATAAAACGAAAAATTTCAGTCAACAAATTGAAAAACCCAAACAGCTAAAGCCAGAAGTCCAAAAACCGAAAAACTGAGAATAGAAATAGCCCAAAATCGAAAAGATGAAAATTGAAAAATTTAAAATAAAATAAAATTAAAATTCCAGAAATTGAACAATCAGAAAAATCGAAACATCGAAATCTTGACAAATCGAAAAATGGAAAAATCGAAAAATTAAAAATGTTTAAAATAGAAAAATTGAAAAGCCGAAAAATCTAAAAACAAGAAATCGAAAAATTGAAAGGTCTCAAAAACGAAACATCAAAAAAATGAAAAAACTAAAATTTAAAAATTAGAAAAATTGAAAAATAGAAATCTCAGATCGTGAAATCGAAAAATCTAAAATTTAAAAATCGAGAAATTGAGGGAAAAAATGAAAAATCGAAAAATTGAAATATATATCCAACAAGTGAAAAATCAAAAATCAAAAAATCTAAAATTTAGAAAATTAAAAAATCAAACTTCTTATCGAACATCTGAAGAATTGAAAAATCGAAATTGAAAAATTCGAACACTGAAGGACGAAAAATTGGAAAATCGAAAAGCGGAAGAATCGATATAGAAACATCGAAAATTTGAAAAATAGAAAAATTGAAAAACGGGAGGATCTAAAACAAAGAAGTCAAAAAATCAAAAGGTCGCAAAATCGAAACATCAAAAAAATGAAAAAACAAAATTTTAGAAATTCGAAAAATTGAAAAAAAGAAATATCGGGGAACTCAAGGATCGTGAAATCGAAAATCTAAAATTTAAAAATCGAGAAATCGAAACACTAAACAAATCGAAAAATTGAAAAACTAAAAAATCTAAAATTTAAAAACTGAAAAATCGAAATTGAAAAATTCTAAAGCTAAAAGACGAAAATTTGGGAAATCAAAAAATCGAAAGCCGAAAAGTTCAAAAATCAAAACATGGAAAAATTGGGACCTCGATCAAAAAAGTTAAAATTTGAATAATCAAAAAAATCCCAAAACTGCTATACTGAAAAACTGATAAATCGAAAAAAAAAATGAAGGATAGAAAAACTGATAAAACGAGAAAGTGAAACATCAACAAAATAAAAAAAATCGAAAAATTGAAAAATAGAAAAATCAAAAATTTTAAAAATTGCAAAACCGAAAACCAAGAAGTCGGAAAATCGAAAGGTCGCAAAATCGAAATATCAAAAAAAAAAGAAAAAACTAAAATTTACAAATTCGAAAATATAAAAATGGAGAAATCGAAACGTCGAAAATTGAAAAAGCTAAAATTTAAAATTCGAGAAATTGAGAAATTAAAAAAATTCAAAATTCGAAAATTGAAAAATCGAGAAATCGAAAAGTTAAAAAACTAAAAAATCTAAAATTTAACAACTGAAAAATCGAAATTGAAAAATTCCAAAACTGAAAGACGAAAAATTAGGAAATCAAAAAATCGAAAGCCGAAAAGTCGCAAAATCGAAACATGGAAAAACGAAATGGAATTGAAATATCGATAAACGAAACATCAAAGAAGTTAAAATTTGAATAATTAAATAAAATCTGTAAATTGAAAAACCGAAACATCTAAATCTAGAAGTCCAAAAATCGAAAAACCTAGAAAAGAAGTATCGAATCGAAAAGATAAAAATTGAAAAATTTAGAACAAAAAAAAGAAAAATCCAGAAAATGAACAACCGAAAAATCGAAACGTCAAAATCTTCAAAAATCGAGAAATAGAAAAATTTTAAAATGGGAGTTTGAAAACCGAAGTCGAAAAATCGAAAGACCGCAAAATCGAAACACCAAAAAATGAAAAAACTAAAATTTGAAAATTCGAAAAATTGAGAACTCAAAAATTGTGAAATAGAAAAATCTAACATTAAAATTGAAAAATTGAGAATACAAAAGGTAAAAATTGAAAAATCTAGAATTAAAAAAACTGTTGAAAAAATCAGAAATTCAACAACCGAAAAATCGAAACATCAAAATCTCGACAAATCAAAAATTTTAAAAATAGAAAAATTGAAAAACCGAAAAATCTAAAACGAAGAGGTCGAAAAATCAAAAGGTCGCAAAATCGATACATCAAAAAAATTAAAAAACTAAAA